TCCACTTAGCTAGAGAGGCCCGCCCCCGCCCGCCCCGCAGCAACAGGCTGCCTGCTTGCGGACCAGGCCAGTAGTCCTGCAGGGCGCGGCACACTTTCCCTCGTGTACCATAGTTGTTATGCGTTTCAACAAGATCTGTGTACATTAAAGTGCCCCATTTTTGTCGACCCCCTCCAAGGGATCACCCAGAATGCACGTCCGTCATTTTGCGTTACGAAATTTCCAAATCCAGCCATTGCAAGCTCTCATAGCGCCTGATAGATAGGCAACAGATCCTCTGTAGTGCATGCGGGTAACGCTGGGTTGCCTACCCCGAGTCTCGCAAGGGGCCGAAAGTTCCCCGTAACTGCCGAATGTACCTAAGAAAAGCGAAGACGTACTTTTCAGACGATCCCTCAGGTGTTCCGTAACAGCATTGATTTAGGTCTAGTCGGTGTAACAGTAGGCGCGTGTGGACCGTCTTTTTACGAACCTGTCAGCCACTTGTTAAAATAAATAATGCTGCTCAAATGTGACGTTTCTACTGCACTAACACCACAAACGACAACGACAACAACAACAAGCGTATTTTCATGTTTTAGGGATCTGTTGTTCAAAGTCATAATTTGGAAGCTGGGGATCACTTAGCAGAAGAGGAAACTTTTACCTTCTGGTAAAGACAGCTAAAAGGGTGACTGCCCGAAAATTATGCTTTTTGCGCTAGAGGGAAAAGCTAGCTGACCTTGCGCCATACGAAACTCAATTTGGAGCGATACGCTGCCAGTACCTACTGATATCCGTTTGCGTTCGGCGCCTTGACGTTTAATGAGTTGAGTTCAGCACCTCTAAGCACATTACCTCTAAAGATTTTTACCTCTAAGCAAATTACCTCTAAGGATATTTACCTCTAAAGCAAAGTACCTCTAATGGATTTTACCTCTAAGCAAAGTACCTCTAAAGAACTTTTCCTCAGAAAGCGTATTTTACATGCAAATAAAATACATGTTACACTGGTAAACCGTAAAACCCTTAGCAGATGTGACATACATGTGACATACAAGTCGCCCATACGAACGCGTCGGGGACATGTATGTGGTGGTTGAAGTCATAGGTCCGACATACATGCACTCTCATTTCCTTATGGACACGCCTACGGAGAATTTTGTGCTAACATATTATGGATCACAAATTATCCATAATATGGATAAAATTGTCCGTATTACAGACAATTTGATCCATATTACAGACATTCCTTCATCCGTAGGGAGACAGTGCCCGTAAGGCGCCACGGTTCCCTGGGGTAGGCAAACAGGCCAGTCGTCGTAGTGATGCTGCACGGCATGGAGGCGTGCGAGCGGGTTGCCCAGATATCCACTTAGCGCGACTTGTGACTATCCCAGTACTGCAAGTCTATATATCAAGGATTTTTAGAGGTGAAGTACCTCTAAATAAAATTACCTTACGGGTCTTGCGGGTAGGCAACCTGCTCGCACGCCTGCGTGCCGTGCAGCATCACTACGACGACTGGCCTGTTTGCCTACCTTAGGGAATCGTGGCTGCCTCGACGCATGGCTCTGGAGAGGATGCCTGGGAGGAGGGCAGCCGGACCGCATCACATGCTGACCTGTGCTCCCTCGACACAAAGACCACTCTCAGTGTTGTAGATTTAGACTGCACTGCTTTAGTGACATCATGACACAACTCGTCGGGAAACGGTAAGTTAGTTTGTGCTCGCAACCTAAGAATTTGTGCTCAGTGGCCCACAATCTAAATCTACAACGCAAATACAGAGCAGCCTCATGGGCATTGTTATTGCCTCTGCTGACACATTTGTCTAACGCTCTCCTGCTCGCGTTCTCGTTTCCCCAGTTCGTGGTGACACCATTATTTAATGTTTTTTAGAGGTACTTCACCTCTAAAAATCTTCGACATATAGGCTGCGCTGTGAAAAAAGTAGGTAGGTTTACAGGAAAATTTTCCTTGACGCAAGTTGTAAAATTACAATTTGTAATCGTAAAAATACATGCAGTATGCATCGACTTCAAATCAATTGGCGAGTAAAAAAATGTGCTGTCGTAAATTTACAACTTAAATTAAAATTCGAGTTCACAATTTTTTTGGCTGAGCGATTAGCGAAGCCTATTACTCCAGTGATGATCAAAAAGTTTCGCGTAATGTATGACCACCTGGTACATTGTCGTACGCTATATTTGCGTTTTCTCGCTTCGCTCTCCGTACGACACCTACGCGCCTCTCTGTGACTGTGAGATAGATATGTGAGACATGTGTCAAACACACTTTGGAATGCAGCTCGCGTGTGACACACTTCCAATCGAGCCTGGCCAAGCCCAACCAAACGAGAATATAAGACATTTTAGAGGTACTTTACCTCTAAAATGTCTTAGTATACGTATGTTTGAGCAGACAGGCCCGTGGCGGACGGTATTGCAGTTAAAAACCGACGAGTTTTCACTTGCGTAATACACTGCACACCTAAACTAAATATTACGCGTAATGTGATACCAAAAATAAAAAAAATATGCCCGAAAATAGCTGAATTTTAGTTGCAAAGCTTGTGTAATGCCAGCGTCATACCACGTAATACACGTAATATGTAATACTCTGTCCATGAAAATTCCGAGTGAAACCCCCCTTGTTAAAAAAAAGACGCCCCCTCCCCTTTCCCCTCAAACATGGACAGAGAGAAAAAATTAAGTCGACCCCGCGGTGACGGGGACACGTTTGATGCTTACCGGCATAGCCACCATATGTTTACATTTCGTAATGAAGGTATACGTAGTACGCCTACCCCCATGAGCGCCTCCATGTTTGCCTACTCCCGCCGGCCGTAAGGTGCCACAAGCGAGGGGCCCTCATATGAGCAGAAGCGAGGAAGGTGTAGCATAAGGGATTGGGAGAGAGTTCTTTTACTTTTGTACAGTGAAACTCTTAGCTGGCGACTTCTCCTCGAAGGGATCCCCTCAGTGGTTGGTAGCGTTTTTTTTTTCCGGAATGGCCGGATGTTGTGACTTAAGTCACTATACCAGGTGGCTGATTCACGCCGCGCACGGTCGTAGTTATACTGTACCGCATGCACGCGTGCGTGCGGGTTGCCTACTCGCACGGGGCCATAAGGAGCCGTAGGCAGCGAGCATAGGCAAACCCGCCCGCACCCGTGCATGCGGTACAGTGTAACTACGACAGTGCGCGGCGTGAATCAGCCACCTGGTATACTGTTGTTATTACAACTGTAACATGTATTTTATTTCCATGTAAAATAAGCTTTCTGAGCTAAAATTCATTAGAGGTACTTTGTTTAGAGGTAAAATCCATTAGAGGTACTTTGCTTTAGAGGTAAATATCCTTAGAGGTACTTTGCTTAGAGGTAAAAATCTTTAGAGGTAATGTGCTTAGAGGTGCTGAGCCGCCCCCCGTTTGATTTGCGTTTCCGGCTGGTATTCAAAGCAGCTGACGGCCAGCAAGGATGTTTAGGAGGCGGAACCGGGCGCAGCGCAGTCCAGCAGGAGAGCGAGAATATCCGAGAATGCATAAAGAGCAACTTGCTTCTGAGACCTGGTAGATGACTTGGCATCTTTCATGAAAAATGAAACTCTGGAGCCGGCGCTCTCGCCGTAGCCACGAGCCGTTTCTTCGACCTTTCCTCAATTTCCGCGGAACACGTTGTGACATTCTTTTCGACTTTGATCCGTCCGCCCGCAGTCCTCGCGGTCCCTTGCGGGCTGCGCCCGCGAAGAATCGGTGACTGGCGGCGCGGAACGCGGAGGCGGCGGAAAGTATCTGAGACACTGTTCTCCAATCCGTGCAAACGGCACAGCGAAAAGTCGCCGCACCGAAACTTTTTGCCCGCGAAAAGCGCGCTGTCGAAACGAAAGAAATGAGAGAGTCTCACGCACCGTCGCCGGGTTGTGGTCCAGAGAGGGGAGGGGGCTGGCCATGATACTGCGACGAGAGCTACCCCTCCCCCTCCCTATCCGGGCCAGCCGTGGCGCATGGCACCCGTTTGCGGCACTCACCCTCCCTGCCCCAACACTCTCCCTTTCCCTACGCTCTCCCTTCCCCAACACTCTCCCTTCCCCCACACCCTCCCTTCCCCTACACCCTCCTTTCCCCTACACCCTCCACACCCTCCTATATTGACCTCTCGGTGATAATTCAACTTTGAGAAGTCCATCTCCTAGTGTCGTGGAGCGTGCAGTTGGGGATAGCGCCAGAGAGGGGACGGTCGGGGGGGGGG